CTATAATGCGAATAAATAAACAGCATTCAAATAAGGGACACTCACCAACGAAGTTCATTAAGTTTAGCAAACGTCCTATATACATGATCGCTACTTCTATGCGGTGACTTCGATGCAAAACAAGAATTTTGATAAAAGTCATGATCGGCTTCAGGTTGATAACTCTAAAGAGATTAAATAAAAAATTGATTCACTAGAAGAGCTGTGAATAACTACATATACAATAAAACAGATTAAGAACGTTACGATTATTTCCTAAATAAATTATCGATAGAGACCATCTCAAGTTGCTACATTAATAATGATGCACAGAGTTAATATGAGGAGAAACTCGAAAATAACAAAATTAAAGTCTGACATTCATGGTGATTACCTAGTTTCAACATAACAGATAATAAAGAAAACAATGTAAGTAAATATATATTCTTAGTAATTTCTCATCAGAATTTACAACTACAGGTAGATATATTAATCCAGAACGATTGCTGTAATTAGTGGAATTATATGGATCAGATGATACAAGTGGTGATAATATTTATAACCAATCCATCAAAGTGTGGATCTACAGTTAATTACAAATTTGTATGTGCGTATGAGTTAAAGTAATAACAAAATGAGTGAATCATAAGTATGAAAACGATTAGCCAGAAGTTTGTGGAGGCTGTTACAATGAAAGTGGTGTTCGAGATACGTCAATCAACATCGAATACGAAAAGATTATATATCACGTTTTCCTTCAAAGATTTAATTGCTGAATAATTATTCAATTAAAATAATAAGAATTGCAATCAAAAGATTCTTTATATCTACACCACGCAATGTATTTATGACCCAATATACACTTTGGGTGCAAATAAAAAATATATCTTCAAGTCTAGCGATTGCTGTGTCCACTTACAATTTGTTCAAACAAGTTTTTTGGATGAAACGCAGGAACTACTTATATTTCAATCGCTAGAACTATTTCAAAGATAACTGTTACAAAAAATGTCTTCTATATACTTAGTGCCCAATTTTTATCAAACTAATCATTCAAATATTGAGCAGGCCCAGGCAGGTTTACTCCTGAGATTTTTAAGGATGGTGGTTCAGTATTAGCAGTGAGATTAACTGAGGTCTTAGGTAGAATTTGGGGACTGGACGTAATCCCATCTGACTGGTCTCAATCACTGATTGTTCCAGTCTATAAGAAAGGACAAAAGTCCTCTTGTGACAATCACAGAGGAATCAGTTTGACAAATATAGTGTCTAAGATATTAGCTTCAATAATAATTCGACGCCTAACTAAAGCTCGTGAAGAGGAGACTAGAGAAAACCAGGCTGGTTTTCAACCTGGACGTGGTTGTATAGACCACATATTCACACTACGTCAGGTTCTAGAACACAGACACACGTTCAGACGCCCCACAATCGTAGTATTTCTCGACCTTAAAGCAGCATTCGACTCTGTCGATCGTAAGGTTCTATGGCAGTGTTTGTCACTGAAAGAAGTACCAAAGAAGTACATTAACCTTATAAAGGCTCTCTACTCGAACACAACTGGTAGAGTGAGAGCTTATGGCGAACTGTCATCAGAATTGATTACCTCAAGTGGTGTTCGTCAGGGCTGCCCACTCTCCATTCTTGTTTAACTTTGTCGTCGACGTACTTTTAGAGATAACACTTTCCTCGTCTAGATTTCCAGGAGTTGAACTTCTACCGGGAGGTTCACTTGTTGACTTAGAATATGCTGATGACATAGTTTTATTTGGTGAAGACGCTGACAAAATGCAGAGTCTGACCACTCTAAGCAACAATGCAAGCATGTTCGGGATGCGATTCTCCCCTCGAAATACAAAATGTTACTTCAGGATTGGGTTGCATTGACACCCGAACTAATGATAGGGAGTGAAGTAATTGAGCGTGTCGACTGCTTCACTTATCTTGGAAGTCTCATCAGCCCTTGTGGTCTGGTGTGTGACGAAATCTCAGCACGGATACAGAAAGCTCGACTAGCTTTTACCAACTTGCGTCATTTATGGCGTCTATCAACCAAACGACGGGTTTAATGCGCAGCAGTTCGTTCCGTCATACCTTATGGCAGTGAAACATGGCCGGTAAGAGTAGAAGATATTCGTAGGTTACTAGTATTCGATCATAGGTGTCTTCGAAACATTGCTCGTATATCGTGGGACCATCGAGTAAGTAACACAGTTGTTAGGAAACGGGTACTAGGTAAGGATGGCGAATCAATTGATGAAGTAGTGAAACTTCATCAGTTGACATGGCTGGGACACGTGTTACGTATGCCCAACGACCGACTACATCGACGTGTTATGTTCAGTGGTATAGGAGTAGGTTGGAAGAAAGCTAGAGGCGGCCAGACCAAAACATGGTACAAATCCATGAAGTCACTGACAAGTGGACTGAGCCATGTTGGTATGTGTAGACTACCTGGTTGAGATCCGCGAGACTATAGCAACCGATGGTTAGAGACCCTGAATGACATGGCTCAAAATCGTTTGCAATGGCGCAGGTGCATCCACTCTTTGTGTTCTCCCAAATTTTAAATCTCCTGATTCCTCCTTGTCTCTTTTTTCTCTTCCCAAATTTATTTCACTGTATTATACTCTTTAAATAACATCTCCAAACACTAATTTCCCCGATTACTGCTTATACTTTTATTACCTCTACCACTACGGGATTTTAATCGGCCACTACATCTCTGTGCTAATGTGGTGTGGTAACTCGAATTGATGTACGTATGTACGAAGTTCTACGTTGTTACTGACTGACTGACTGAACAATATTCGTCTAAAATTAATTCTGTTCTAATCTCTTGTGTAGAAAAATAACTTGACCGAATAAAAAAGTATACAAATTCGAAAATCACCTAAACAGGTGCAAAAATTAGCATTATTTCCACAATAATATTAGCAGTTAATGCATAAGTACTGCTAGACAGAAGAAACATAAATTCCTTAATTTTATTAACGTTGAAATTCTGCATATATATAACATCAAGGCCCAAACACATTAAAAAGAACTACCGAAATCGTTGAGTATTACCTGTGGTAAGAAACTACCGCGGCGATTAATACCATTTAAAGCAATAAATAATTTATTTACAAAACAGAACAGAAATATCCAAACCAATAATCAGATCGTCAGAGAATTTCAACATACCGAACTCGCTCCAGTTACACCTCTTCGATGGTCCAGATCCCCACGCTTGGGGAATTTCACAACACATTGTTTTGGAGTTGGTGGGATCCAGATACTTGTTAGATCAGTACTAGTAGCAGAAGCTGAGCAGTTACCATCTTGGTTGTCATTATCACAATCAGAATTCGTTGGTATTAATGAGTTGGGAATGGGAGATAAGTTGTTTGTATGGGTGTTACCGGGATTGAGTGGTGGTTGTTCCTGAGGAGGTTCCTGTGAAGGGCTATTTGATGAAGGTAGTGAGTGTGAAAGTGGGATTTGCTCTGATGATCTGTTAGCTGGGAGAAAACTGTAATGAGTCGGACCCAATCTAACCGGAAGTTCAGCGAATTCATCATTTGAACAGTCACCTAAAGGTGATTCCTGTCTCTTTACTGATGTTTCAGCCTCGTCTGACACACTATCGTCAAATCGAAGTGAAGAGAATCTCAATAAACGAGACAGATGAGATTCACAAACAGAAGGATCAATGGACTGAGGACGTGAGTTGACTCCACTTATTGTGCGATATCGACCAAGAAGACTACTATTACTACTGCTACTGCTCAATAAGCCAGGAATACTATCACGATTTTGTGTGAAACGAGCCATTCGAAGCAAACGGCGCTGATGAGTGCTTCGAGGTGTTCCAACCACAGAAGTTCTGTTTGTGCTACCTAGACCAACGGAGCGGGTACTACCGGACAAACCAGCTCCAACTGTTTGGTGCGAACTCCCTAATGTGCGACCCGGGTAAGCATGGTTTATTACAGACACTTGTTGATTGGACTCGGTATTTAAAAAATTTGGTCCACATGGTATATTCACGTGGTTTGAATTTTCACCGAACGGAGGTTGACTTCGACTGCGCCAAAACAAGTTACTAGGTAGACTAGTGGTAGTACTTATCTCGTTGTCTAGGTTCACATTTTGAACGGGTGATTCTCGAGACGATCGACTGGATTCAGAACGCGAATTTTGATTGTCACTGGTATATGTTTCTGAATCGTAAAAGGACATAGAATTAATTTATACAATTTCCTGCCTTTGATAAACACTCAGCAAGCTGAAAACGAAATGGGAAAATTTTTTAATTATAACGAAACAAACGACAGATAAAAGGACTCATATAATACATTGAAACAATGTTTCTAGGATTCCCAGTGATTTATAAAAACTTTAAAAGCACTGTCGGTGTCACTATACCTGTGAAAGAGTGAAAATCACTGACGAACAAACAGATCAATATGTCATAAACGATAAATAAATAAAATTATGCAGCATATGATCTCTACAATACTGGCTTCTAAGTGTTATGTCTTTTACCACTTCCAACTTCTTTACAATGAACAGATATTTTAAAAAATTTAATGGCTATCACTAATAGTCAAAGACGAGTGATAAAAAAACGAAAATGATGAATAATGTCAAGAATTACTCAGTCAGAAAGTACCCTACTTTAGCATCATAGAGTTAACACACAGATGAAATTCCGACATTCTGACGATCGTTAGGAGAGCAATCACAAGCAAGGTTCTCATCATATGCATCAATTATATGATTGAATATTCTTATTCGCGATTCCCAACTGCTTTCGACAAGAGGGTCGAACTCATAATAATTAGATTGGAATAAATTGTTCTGATCATAGCTAAAGGATTTAAGAATCGATATTTCATAAGAATTAAGGACAGAGCCCTTTCCTTTAATTTAATCAAAATATTCAAGAGACTCAATGTACTTCTACTATTTTAAATTAAACAACCAACAAGCAGTTCACAGGAAAACATACTAAGTACCACATAAAAACAAGACCGTAATATCGAAAGTTTTATATTAATAAAAGAAAGATTAGATTGAAGAATATACAAGCAACACTGTGAACCTCTTTATATACAAATTCATTTTTCAGTGAAGATATTAAGAGATCGATTGTAACACTGAAAAGTTATGATTTTGACAATTTTTCTTATTCGTCAAATTCACCCAGAGTGCATGGTCATAAACAACAGAGTTCATATTACGCATCAGATGGGATGTTGGTTCACTAGACTTATCGTCCGTTTTGGTAGATTTTGCAGCCAAAACAAATAGTCTGTCTAACACACAATCTGCGGACATGGCAGCTTGATAACGCCTTTTTTGACTGCTTTCAGTAGTTCTAGATCTAGTTTTATATAGGAGGGAAAGAAAGCAGTGTAAAATTTAAAAAAATATGGAATCGTCTCGAGTTAAAAATCAGCTTACACTTAAAATCACTTACTCAATATCAGAAACAGTCATCGTCATATATTGAGGTTCTGAATTTTATGAAGTTACAGTAACTCCGGTCCTTTTTTTATTTTTTGGATAAATAATGTACACTCACTGAATATTAGTAACAAGGACAAAAGTAACGTATGCTAATGGAACTAAGTAACTTAGTACAGATACATGTACTAAGTTTCAAGTCACATATTACGTGTGAGGGTTACTGATGTTACTCAGGCTGCTCTCACTAAATTGCGTGAGGAGTAAGCAACGAATACATTTTTCGGCTAGCTAGATATGGAGACTGTTGAGAGTATTTCAATTTTAATATCTTGAGGGATGGACAATTTGATCGAGGATAAATCCATACCAGTCTCGTTTCATACGACGTAAAAATATGGTATTGGTAAATGAACAGACCGATTAGTTAATACGTGATTTATCATTTTATGGTGCCTAATTTATGACTGTGACATAAGTTGTCACGATAATCATATTCATTTATTAGATTTCTCAAAAGCACAGGGTATTTCATAAACTACAGTAGGGAAAAGAAATTAAATAAATTAGTTCACACGAAAAGACCAATCAATTGCAATCGCATCAAAGTATAAATTCTCATTTCAAAAATCCAGCACTTGACAACCGATTGAAAATATACATGATTACAATATACAATGAATCACTATGATTTGATATACTCTTTGGCTTTAGAGAAATACAAGGGCTGCTTCAACATACAGGGAATGCCACTTAATTATAAACCGAGATAATGAACAATGGTTTCAAGGAAGATATAGATCGAAAGAACAATGTCATGTTCTTTTCCAAAACCTCGATGGTTCCTTAAAAAGATCTATTGTGAATAAAATATTTTTTACTAGTATGGAACACGACCGTCTCAACGATAATTATTTCTAATTAGTCTTCAGAATTATTATAGTAGTGTTTAGATACAGAGGAGTGTGACCTAATGTACACAAAATTAATATGCTGCGATTGAGCTAATCACTTCTCGGCAGGCTTCAGTGATGTAAGAACTCAGAGAATGAAACCAGAAAGGTTTACAGAGATAAACAAGTCCGATCACTGTGTCAGAGTAGAGGCTGTGTCATGAAATGCTTAAAATGAGTCTCACATGCATATGTTTATTCATTATTATTTATCTCTAACACATAGGTTTTGATATTTCATGCATTTTGTTCTCGTATTTCATTACTTGTTTTCGAAACAAACTCTATATTTTTAGATTTTCCTACAACTACTGATACCACTGTTGTTTTGACACCTTTAATACTCACCTTACTAATTTCAATTCGTTGTGGTGATATCGTATACAATCGTCTCAGGTCTTACGTTGATTAGGACTGACTGAAAAACATGTTATAAGCTACTTGTATATCGAAGAAAAGCAAACCATGAACTTCTAGATAATCAACTACAACTTTAGTAATACGCTCTTGGTTAATAATGTCATATATCATGCAAAAAAACTCACAAATAAAAATTGGTCTCATTTATTCCATCACAAGTTGGGTGATTTTCATCAGAACTATAATCTTCTTTGTCTACTGATCTATCACGTTCATTCAACAAATCATCCGAATACAAATCGAACTCTTCCGGAGAGCATGGTTCAATGTCAAATTTATCCATATCGCCCTTTGTACTACTGTTTAAATCATTTGAATCAGATGGAGAAAAACTAACCCATAAGAAAGGATCAGGTGAGTCAACAGGCAGAAGAGATGGCGCTTTGTTTACATCATTATAAATGAAGGATAATTGTTGAATTTGATTGAAGAATAGTGAGTGAGGTAAAGTGTTGCTTAAAATTTCCTGCATACAGAAGAGAAAACCATAAACGAGTTTTAATAGCTTTAAACCATTGCAAAATGCTGTAGACTGCTTGCGGTGCAGAAAGAGAATTATATTTTGTACACCAGGGCTACAGTAACAAGCGTAAAATTTCAGTATTACACCACAATTCACTTGACATCATGAGTTACTATAAAATAAAACATTTTAGTCTGTCTATACTTTTGAACTTTAAAAAGGAAAACCAGTGGCTTGATGGTTAAAGCATTAGAGGTTCTGGATTTCAATTTGGTCCCGCCTACTGTAGTTTGGTCACATGAGCAGAAGTGCTAGACGTTCGAGCATGTAAATCGATATCCCATAAGCCGGTTATATCGGTTCATAAATAGAAAATAATAACAGATCTGATAACGTCTCAAGACACTGTTACACCATCTCTAGAACTCCAACTAGGTACTCGCGAAGGACAAACAGATGCCATTCTTGTACGGCTCTCCTTCATACCACTACATCGTGTCATACACTGACCACCTCTCCAATTTTTCCAACCAGTCCCAGCATCGGCAAATAGTGCGCGATGTGAAGTTCGCCGAAACGACATTCGTAAGACGCCCGAGCCACCGAATTCGGTGTTTCAAGATGGCAACACTAATTGAAATATCGTCCCTGCACCCAAACACACGACGCCAAACCTCTGCGTTACAAATAGTGTTGCCAGTACATTTCAACAGTCCTCTGGGGACAACGATGATCAAATACAAAGAGTCAGTTAAAATCCCCAACTCGGAGAGGCCAGGTCTTAAAAAGATAGGGCAGAACTGCTCTCACCAACGCGTCGTAGCTCCAACCGTTGACAGTCAGACTAACATCACGAAGGCGTCAAGATGATCTAGGTTGGCATAACTCGCTCTGGCTTTCATCATACGTAAATTAATCTCACGCCAGCACATAAGCAACTACCCAGACACACGAACTGCCCGACTATTTCTATCTGCTCACCACCCAGGGTGAGTGTAGGTTTAGGGTCCTGCCGATCTTGTAAAAGTACTTTGCACTTAGGTGTAAAGCATATGCCATACTTACGGACACGGATTAGGAGCCTATTGCATGGTTCGGGTATTGTCATATAATATCATCCGCACACTCATGGTCGCAAAGTTTTTCCACAGGCAACAGATTCACGTCACTATTACCTACATTCATCACAACTGTTTCCAGATCGTCATCGACGGCAAAGTTAAAGAGGAATGGTGGGATTAGGCAACCCTACCTAGCCCCACTGCTTGAATGAGACAGTAGTGAGACATGGTTGTATGCCCTCACTATCTGAAGTGTTTGTAGGGCTATCAAGCTGCAAATAAACGTCTCAGGCACACCCTTCTTTAATGGACAATCCTAGAAAAGTCTTGTCCAACGAATCGAAGGCAACCGTACTGTCGAAAAACACTATTATGGTTGGTCTGTAATAAGTATGACAATGTTCTAACATTTGGCAGATAGTGAAGATATGACCAATCATCCTCGACCATAACGAAAACGAGCCTGCTGCTCGCGAGTCAATCTTTCTCGAATTTTGGACAATCTATAAACTAAGACGGAAGCCAGTAGTTTGGACGTAATCGAAAGTAGACTTATCCCCCGATAGTTGTTACAGAAATGACGTGAACCCTTTTTAAAAACAGGAACAGCTATTGACTCATTCCACAATGATGGGACACTCTCTAACCGCCGGACCTTTGTCAACAACGCAGTCAGTTCTTTAACCAGAATGTCTCCAACATCTTTAAAAAGGGCTGAAGGTAAGTCAGCCATATGGCCATGAGAATTTGTAGCGCTACTGGAGTTGGGGTTTCTTGAGGACTTCCGCCTCCTTAAGTGGATCAGTCGTCACATGCCATGGAAAGCAGGATAGGTTGATCGATGTTGCGGGGGGATTTATTTATTTATTTATTTGTTTATTTGGACACATGAATATTGGTACAAGAGAGCGCCAATATATATGCGCCACACAAAACAATGAAAATTCGAGAGGAATACAAAGAAAGAAAAAAAAAGCTAAGGAGCGCAACAAAAAAAGAGAGAACAATAACGAAGAGACTGGTGTAAGGTAATGTGCTAGTAATCAGGGAACGCAAAGGTACAATCGGAAGAAATCTTTCAGGTAAGGGAGACAGAACCACATTTTATGAAGAAAGTAAAAGAAGGTTACAGCAGGATCGCCACTGGCTTCTATTCTGAGCCATATCTGATAACGTCTCTAGCCACTGTGTAGCACCATCTCTCAGACCCCAACCAGGGAGTCGTGAAGGACCAACACAAGCCAGTCCTTTGCAGCTTTCTTTCATGCCACGACACCATGTCATGCACTGACCACCTCTCCGCTTCTTCCAACCAGTCCCAGAATCGGCAAATAATGCACGACGTGGAATCCTCTGGGACGACATTCGGAGAACATGTCCAAGCCACCGAAGTCGGTGTTTCAAGATGGGTTTGATCCACCAGGGGATTGACCTGTTGATTTAGAGTAAACACATGATATAGTTTTGTTTGATCAAAGTGCCAAAAATCCAGTCTTCTGACTACCTTAAGCCACGATGAAAGCACATTTGGGATGTAATTCTTTCCCCCGAACGCAAAATGTTACTTCAGGATTGGCTTGCGTCAGAGCCTGAATTAGTGATAAAGAATAAAAGAGTTGAACGTATCAACTCCACTTATTTTTGGAGTCTCATCAATTCTGGCTTTTGCCAACTTGCGTCACTTGTGGTGTAGGCGAGACACTTGCCTGTCAATCAAGAGGCGAGTTTACTGCGTAGCAGTTTGCTTTGTTTAATTTCATGGGTGTGGAACATACCCATTAAGAATAGAGGATATTTGTAGGTTACTAGGATTCGACCATAAATTTCTTTAAAGTATCGGCCGTGTATTTTGAAACCAGTGAGTAAGCAATGACTGAGTTAAGGACAGGGTAAATCAATCGGTGTGGTAGGAAATCATTATCAACTTAGGTAGTTGGGACATGTATTAGTGTGTCTAACCACCATCTCCCTCGATGGGAGACGTTGCCTGATGTAGGATTCGGCTGAGACTATTTTTCGGTAATCAATCCAAATACAAACAAGAACAATTAAAAGGATAGTTACAACACTCACCCGAAGACCAGTAGGAAATTTTAAAGTGGTCAAATTGAAACAGGCATGAAGCGATGGTTGCTTTTGTTGCTGGTGGAGAAAATACTGGCATATTAAATATTGCAATGTGATTGGGTAAGATTTTGCACGAATCAAACGAAAACCACTTCGTAACGTAGTTGAAGATACCATTGGATAATAATTATCACGTGGCAGACTACTCAGTTTTTAATCATTAAATGGATTATGTAAGAAAGCATACATAAATAAGAATGAGATATCTGATTGAGTGGATTACATGGGTTAGTGACACATATACAAGAATTATTAATTAATCCACTTTTAATTAAGATCTTTTTTCCAATCAATCAGTAACATTTAAATGACATGTAACCACATACTGACTTTAAAAATGTAATGAGAATATCAAGACAAACTGAATAACAAGGAATACTGGTCACCCACTAGAAGTGATTTACCTTTCATTCAGAGGTAATGTAGAAATTAATTCCTCTCTATTTGACTCCAAAATACGTTATCCCGTTAACTCTATTTCAGCAGCCCAATTCCCATAATAGCACTATGAATTTACTCGAGAATATTCAAAAGCGAGAACACTAGTTGTTGAGATGTTTAGTGTTACTAATTAATAACACCCACAGACACGAGAGAGGCAAGCGCACCGAAAAGTGAGTCAATGAGTAGAAATTCGAAGCACGTATACGTATTTAAGACTTAATTAATATGTGGGTAAAGTTGTAAATTGTGTGTTAATAACCAATGGGAGGATAGATAAAGATTGTGGTGCAGACATGAGTTCAATTAGACTCACACATACTTTTACATGGTGGGTTAATTATCTAAATCACGGCAGGTAGGTAAAACAATTTAATGGGCTTACTTATAGTACCACTACTAATCATACACTCAGATCGTTGTTTTAAAAAAAAGACATACTTTGCGTGGTGTAGATTATTCTATTTGAAGGCTTATTCACTTTATTTTACTAACTCCATAACCCGCTGATGTAACCTAATGATTGTTAGTCTCATCAACAGACCATTTGCCGATCACTAGGTTTTGCTATCGCTACTACAGAAAATATTCCATCTTATGGATACAATGACATTAAATGTTTAAGTTTCTTTGGCGAATTTCATTTCTAATAAAGGAATAACAAGTTAAAGAATTTCTGAAGTCTTATTAATTCTAATTCAAGTAGATTTACTTGGAAAATAAAAGATCACCTGACTTCTGTAATTGCTCCAGCCTCAAGTCACACGATATATTGGTAGTTCTAATATCTTAATAATTTAGACAGCAATAGTACAAAAATACCCGAAGAAAGGTGTTATATGTAGATTTCAACAAGGTTATTAGAAACAATCTGTGGATATTTACTAATGGTACTATACGGGAAGAGTGAAAAGACTAAATACAACTAGTATATTTGTCTAAATAGGTGCATTTTAATAAGGATTTAAACGGTTGAGTGCGTTTCATTCGCATAATCGGCATTCTCAGTAATAATTTCATCGAGGACAGATGGGAAATGCCATCCAGCACGTTTCTTTAGGACAGCATCCCACAGGGAAAGGTGCTTCTGGATAAGTGACGTCTGAAAAAGATATATATATTGAACATTTCTTCTTTCGGCAGCAGAACTTTGACAAACCATTATTCTCTTTTGATCAAATCATGCTTGTTTCGTTCATCTCACTATTCCTGACAATACTAGGACATTGATGATTTCCCGAACTCGACTTCCTGAAAGACTGCTAACCATTCCAGTCGGTGAAAGTGATTGAAGAGCGAAACTTAGGCTGAATAATCAGGTTATAATTGCGCTGGCGTGAGCATGGTCTAAAAAACCCACATTTTTCAAACGTTTATGTCTTAAATGACTTCTAACCATGTCCATTACTTTGTATACTATTTCAATTTTACTAGAAGAAACCTATTCTAAGGGTTACTACTTTTATTCTTCATACTAATTGATTGCCGATAATTCAGTATTGTGGACAGACTTTATTCTGTAGCATTGAGTCCCTAGTAATTGACTACTTGAATGAATTGTAGTAACCGTGAAATGACATGATACGCTAAAAACGTATCTTAAGCTTTGTTCAAGTTAAATACTAGGTACATGATTTTGGCCTCGGCTCTGAACCACAGATATTGTGTAAGGATTAATTGCACCACATAGTTACCCAAAAAGAAGTTCAAACCTGGGACATGATTGTTGAGATTTGAATGTTTACATAACCGAAACACATGGAATCATAGACAAGTTCGTCTTCTGTATGCCATGAAAATATATATCGCACCTAATTTGACGTAACATTGAGACTTATGAACTCAGACTCAAATTGTCTTTCCCCTTCAACGTCCGTACATCGATGCAGATTACACAACAGTCAGTCGGTCGCCCTTAGGAAGTCTTGATATCACTGAGACCTGTATTCACAACTAGTGAATTATTACGAATTCGGTCTTTATCCGTCAATTTGAAAAGCTTGTTTTATGTGCGCTTATTCACCGATCCTGAGTCCGATTTGGTTGGTGTTAGTGTTGCACTTAGAGTCATAAGGCTCTGCACACAAACACTTTAGCCACAGTGAAGGGATACAGCCACCTCTAATCATTCTATTCCAGAAAAGGGATTACGGGTTTCCCAATCTCATCAATTCTCGCCAACTCTATTGTTGATGATATTCTTGAAGCAGTTGTGATGGAATTAGGTAGTGTTAGAGTATATCTGTTACCTGCAGAGACTTTTCGATCTGAAGTACTCGAGCGATATCGTCTTGTGCTGTGACAATCAAACTATGTATATCGCGTTTAATTAGTTGCCAATCAGTGACCGTAGGTATGGCACGCACTTCACACCTTCAAATGTAAATTACTCTTACAAGCCTGGCAAGAACTTGTGTATGCACAAACCCTTTGTAGATAGCCTTTAAAATTAGTCAAGATATTCTTATATCTCGGTAGTTAAGTGAGTCCTGGTAATGTCCCTGTTGATGAGATCAGTCTACGTATAGTAAAAACCGAAGCGGGTTGTGACAATCTGGACAACTTTTGGAGCCATCCTGATTTAATCGCAGTAAAAGGTAGGGTTTACAACATGCGAGTGACGACAGCTTTGCTTTATATCTGTGAAACCTGGCCTTTCCAAATTGAAAATGTTCAATGACTCTTTTTGTCCCATCTTCGTTATCTTCGAAGAACTGCCGAAATCCATTGGTAACACCATATTATTAATTCTGAGGTTCGGTGATGTGAGTTTGGATGTAGTGACGATAACTCAAGTGGTTTCATCAAGTGGCTTCGATGTGTGTTAAAAATGTCATCCCAGCGACTTTCACAACGTACATTAATCGCCAATCCTGGAACGAAGTGAGCAGTCTATGAGGTGGTGTAAGGATTTGTAGGAAAACTATAATTTCAATGGTTGAGATCATAAGCCAATTGAAGCCAGACCGCCATGGAAACCTGTAGGCACTGGACGACCGTCTCGTCCTATTGTGGGTCCTAGGTTCAAATCTCGCGAGGCGGGGTCGTGGATGCGCACCGCTGAGGAGTCCTACAATAGGACGAAACAGCTGTTCAGTGCTTCCAGGTTTTCCATGGTGGTCTGGCTTCAATTGACTCATGATCTCAACCATTGAAATTACTATAATATCCACAAAACCCTTCTGATAAGAAAACTATAAGACTGGAATCCGTTATCCATCACGATCCCAAGATTTGGAACTTCTGGATGGTGAGACAGTAGCGGTTTTACTGCAGTTTTCTTATACAGTTTTCATAAATATAGAGGGATCTCCCTTAGCTCAAATTCCTCCCGGTTTTATTTAACTGAACTGTTTTATCATATACTACATTAATTAGCTTACTTTTATTGATTTGTTTCAATTATATTCTCCTCCTTACTTTACCTCTTCACGATTTTATTTCCTTATTAGTGTGACGTATACCTATTTTGGTGCCTAGTTGTGAGCATATTTATTAATTTTAAACGTATACATAGTCTATTCGTCTTCAATTTTAACAGACCGTTTGAAGGTTATGGAGTAAAAAATAAGATACATGGGTGTCACCTACGACACAAGTGACGCAAGTCGCCAAAGACCAACTGAGCTTTCTGAGTCCATATAGAAATTTCGTTAGGCAAATCCATCAGTACTGATTAAATCTCAACGGCAAGTGCAGTGACCGATACAATCAACCACTTTACTCTCTATAGAAGCTTTGGGGTTAACGTATTTCAGTTCTGAAGCAACACTTTCCATCTAGAGGGATAAAAATCTATTCCAAACTGCAGTTGCTCAAGAACATTAGAAGACTACATTTTATCGGCGTCTGCAACAAATAGAACTGTCATTTTCATGTTCTATGTCGACAAGTAAACCTCCTAATAGAAGACCAACCTATGCAGAGTTAGGTGAAGGGTCATATCTAGGAGGGTAATTTTGATGGAATTAGATAAAAAGAGCCGAGTGCAACACCGATGAACATTACTTTTTGTTAGGTTACAAGTAGACTGAAGTATTGAGAAAACTTACTTGAAACAAGCATTCGGATTCAATTGTCCATCAACGTAGAAGTAAAGCTTTAAATGCCACAAATCGAGAAGACAGCCAATTATACTACCCTTTTTGAAAGCGCAAGATCCCAAGGGATATGTTTGACCATCATGCATAAGTGCACCACGATAACTTAATCCCCACGAATCACAATCAATACCAAGTACCGAACGGAATTCTTGTGAGTAATGATCTAGTTTTGCACATTTTCGACCGATTCCAACCATCTAATAAGTATGAAATGTAACATAAAACTTATTTCGAAGGACGTCTGCCAGATGATTAACACGTCCCAAGCACTTTAATTAGTGAGAAACATAAAAGTATCATTATAATAAGAAACTTAAAACCACTCACATTTAATACCGTGCAAGGTACAAATGAACATTTCTTGACTTTTCAACTTAAAATTCGACGTCTTTTGACCTTTCAACACAGTAAACCGGGTAGCGATATCAAAGTGAAGTAGCTACATAGGCTACTCTTACTACGTTGTAAAGCCTTATGACCATGAAACCCGATTAGATCGTGCCACCTTTCACGGCAACTGCTTCAGATAAGCAGCTGAACTTAATAACAGTGCAGTGCACATATAATTGCTCGGTGTGAAACAGAAGCACCTGAAATTCTAAATCATATAGTATGAAACCAAATATGCTGTACATGTTCTATACACAAAGTTGGTAACTAAAGTAGATTTGCGCTACGGCGAAACCCTGTACGATTTGAAAATTAGAAAGACAAAGCCCTCGAGCTGGGATTAAACCCTTGCACTACCAACCGGTGGCGACAAACAGATTTAATATTCCTAAAAACGTACCACATCTGTTCCATAAAGTGGAGATACAGCTTTAAGTTCCCAATAGTGAAGGCCATTCGTTAGTAGGGCAGTCCCACGTGCAACAGCTGTGCCCCAACTAATAGTCGGATGAAATGTAACAGTCTTATCATTTTCAGACAGCTGGAAGGACTGCAGTGGAGATTCCGGTTTACACCAACGCCATTCCAATGCTTAAAAATTTAAATATGATGTAATCCAGGCTCACGTTCATCAATACTTTCATTGCAACGACAAAGTAATATCCAACTTAGATCCTGAAACTTTGGAGAATCAGGATCGCAGTAAGCACATTTCTGAACAGTCAACATCAATAATACAAAACTAAACAGCCTTGTACATTTAAGCGCTCTTTCCAAAAACCTCGAAAGGCTCTTTGACTCACCTAAACAAAAACATTAAATGTTGGAGTACTTTGCTTTTATGAGTACTTCTTCAAAATATGGGATCCTTTTTGGCCGTTTCGTCAAAACAAACATTAAAAGAAGTTCATACATGTAGTTTCTACATTTTTCCTTCATGTTTCGCTCCTCAGTGACGTTTATTTTTGTATCTTTCTTGCTCCCGACCCAGTCAGACGTTTATTAAGAGATTGTGCCATACATTTTCTGGAATCTTGGATTTCGTTTAGGTTATTCGTTCAGGCAACGCTACGAATTCGGATTGGGTTGTTTTAGACTTATACTGGTCCAGTCTACAACGCTATGATAATCCAAAAATTTGTACACCAATACCTCGTATCACGTAAACATTCCCTTAGACTTATATCATATCGAATGAATATCTACCTCAAATCTCGACTACATGGAAGCTTAAGTAACTTGGGAAGATTTTTTGATCGTATTAGGTAATTTTATACTTTATTTTTGATGCTTAATAAAATTTCGTAGTTACTTCATAATAGTGGTTATATATTCTGTCACTCTCGTTAGTTTGTGGCCGAAATCATTTGTATTTATGCGTTGTAGCACTACAGAAAGACATACTACGTGGACACAAACAGTCTCGACCTGTCTCAAATATATATACTTCGTCATGTGATTAGTTCCCTGTATGAATTTAAATAAAGCCAGAATAAATATTTGTCTCCGAACTCCACTCAACTATTACACCACCCATCCTTAATGTTTCCTTAATTCTAACACTGAATAAACTCTGACGTGTTCTTGCACACACATATATATATATAGTTATCTTTGATAGCCTTTGTCATTCATTTACAACAATTGTTCCATACTATTTCTTATCTCAATGTTAAATTCTAATACATATTTGGTTGTAAGCAGCTGACGAGAAACCAAGAAATATAATGAATTCAAATTATTCTGCATTAATATTTGTCCTCGCTTTTTTTAGATACTTCGTCGTAATATCATACTCAACATGTTACTTAACGCCAGATGTTATACCTTCCGCACCACTCCTTAACATATTGGCCATGTTATCTGATCCTTCTATACCACTGGTGGTTGCCATTTTCACTAATGTTTGCTATCCGGTTTACATTTACTGTTGTCTCACACGTTAACTCATGACTCGACTTTCTTATTACACGTATGTCGTGCTAATTTCCTTTTCGGTTCATTTGCATGGAATTCAGGTCTGGCAATTTTCTTTAGGATCCCCCACATACTCTAACCTCAAACGTAACAAACCATATCGAAAGAACTCAACGTGGGTTGATATAACTTTAAAAAGTCACATTGCTTTTTATCATTGTCACTGCTAGTCGCTATACATTCAACCAACCTGTAACGAAATTAAAACGCCGAAAATCCCTCAACAGAGTTTTTATTGGACAGTACTGTCATTTATTTGTTTCTTCTCCCTGTCGTGTATTTCAACCTTTGCTCAGATCTCTCTTAACCACCCTTTGTGTTTTTCAGTCTTTCTCGTCTGTGCTTTTATTATGTGAGCTTGATAAGAAGGTTACCTTCTGTTATCTAATTTTTCTGTTGCATATTGCCGGACTATTGACAATAAGGTAGTGTTTGACTAAGCCCAAGGTCACAGCGTGGTTAGGTGTGTGACTGCTAACCCTTGACTCTCTGCTTGGAAAGATAGCTGAAGTCCCTGCAGACATATATAGGATCCCATCTTGCTGGAAATATTTTTATAGATTCACAGGTAGTGAACTCTATTGTATTAACTGTTTCTTTTATTGTTCAGCTCGCTAATTATTGTTAGAGACATATTTGACTTTATAGCACAGGCTGTACTGTTTGTGGTGCTTTGTATTTTTGATACAATTTGTTCTATTTCTTAAATTATAACCGTTTAAATTGAGCACAGATTTGTGTTTTGATATAATATAATACGAGGAACTTAAAAACCCTTCGCACGCTATACAGAATAACGTAGTCTGGTTTAATCGAATGAAGTTTGGATCATTAGTTCTGCGTTCAAATCAAATATCGGCAGTTCGGTCGTTGCAGTTCTCAAACGAACAGTAGTCACACGTTGCAAACATTGAAATACCTGGCAAGCGCAATAAGAAGATCACCGAAATCCTGCTGTTGAGCCAAGAAGAAATGCAACCAGATGCACCTTCAGATGTACGGCAAGTCCCCTTAGATGCATTTTCATGTCATGGCTCTAATGTTAGTTTAGTTAGTCGACATACCAAAATTAGTTCTAGGATCACCTTAGCAGTTAAAAGACAGTTGAGGGAATGACAATTATTAGAAATTAGGGACTTGAAGGACGGACAGAGGAAACAACTAGAACATGTGATATACTAAAACGGTTGTTTGGTAAAACATTCGGAGTAAACCGAGGTTGGCTGAAAGATTGACTGAAGGTTCTAATATAGAACACGGTGATGGAGAAAGTTTATCTAGGTTAGTGTTAAAAATGGAAAAATTGTTCCATAGCATTAAAACAAATGGATTACTCAGCGGATCTCAACTTAGTGGGCACTACAAAAAGCATAATAAAGAAAATGCCCGCGGTGTTACGGATGAAATGGGCTTAAACTATCGGCAAAGTAGCAGCAATTTGGAGAGAGCCTACCGTTGCTGAGTTAATATAATTTGTATCATCTGGAGCAGAAATATTACTCAGAAGATTCGGTTTGCTGGGATTGACATCATCCACTGTTTCACAAACTCATTAGCGTTCATGGCACGCCGAGTGTGAGATCAAAAGAATGTCATTGTGGATACACAGAGTCACTAATAGGGGATGTATCTCTTGGTCTAATCCCTGTACGCCTTAAAGCTGGGGCGGCGGCGCAGGCTCGGATCTTGCGATGCGGGATCGTAGATGCGCATTGCTGAGGAATATCATACTAGGATAAGACGGCCATAAGACGTCCATCTTAACCTCGGCGCTCAGGCATCTATAAGGATGGTCAATTCATTTACTGAACATTTCTTTGGAACTAACTGCAGCTCCTTATAAAACTGACCATGATCATCCTCGCTGCTATCGTTGATGGATGGGTAACATCAAGAGACATTCGTTGTATTCCTTTTCATTTTAGCTTTGAAAGATGCTTTAACGGTCATAGAATCGTGTCTCCCATCCTATCAAAGATTTTCACGTTTCTTTAAAGGACATCAATACAACCCCTTGTGTCTAATGTACTATTTTCCTTCACGGTAAGAATACAGCAACATCTCGGAGATTAGTCTTTTCAATCAAGATTGTTATCAACAGGTTTTAATTACACCATGTATAGCTACTTTGTTTTTTATTTCTCCTGCTGTGTCGAAAGACATTCCGATTTCCCGAATCGTTAGAAAGTTTCATGCACATGCGCATTGGGTCTATGGATTCTGAAGAATCCTGGCTTCTACCACAAGACGCTATCACTCTTCTATATAAAGGCTCTTCAACACCAAGGTGGAGTGTGATATTTTTGTGATGATTAGAAGTATTTAGATCAATGTGTTAAATTAGAATTCCCGAAACAGTGTAATTAACAGCAAATAGAACTAGGTGAGCACAAATGAACGTATTGTATTTGTAATTCGAAATCAGGCGGACATCAAATACAAAAATGTCATTATTTCATACAAACACCAATTCCAAATTTCTCAAATTACCTATACGTTTTCTCCTTAGGTTCATCATATGTCTATCCGACTGTGTTTTGGATAAAGACTCTGTATGATCTGGAATATACTCATTAGTATTAGAATTAACAAATGAAATCGGAATGGACTTACCTGGGTTCTGGAGTTGTATGCAAACACCATGTCGGTTGTGTACTGACACCACTGATATCTTAAATTTGAACCATAGACATTCCAAAGCTACACTCCCCCACGAAATAATGTACTGCCCTTGTATGGCAATGTCAATTTTCCTGTTCGCACAGTTTCATATCTCACACATCGAATATTATGCGTGAGTATTTGAGGATACACACTGACATATAATTTTAGGAATTTAAAATGTGACTTTAACGTGCGTAAATATATGATACATATTCTTTATGGTTTTCACGTTGGAATACACAAGACTATCCCTTCTGATCTATCATATCACGGACTATGGATTCTACTTGACACAAATTAGTTGTGGGAATATCCAACATCTGATACATAAACATCAGAAATGGGACTAGAATTCGACCCATTAGAGACATATTTGTCAAAGTCATTAAGAATATCATTAGTGATAAGTCCTTTGTGAGGACGAATATTATCTAATGCGACACCAAAAGAACTGTAATCAGATTTTAACTCATTTAGAACTTGTTCCTCACATTTAATTAAGGTCTCACTAGAAATAAATGAATTATTAGCACAAACGATATCTGATAAAATGAAATCAGAGTTCTGATAAGGATTTGGTACACTAGATATACCTTTCATATATTTGTAAGTAATTTCATTAGAAATACATGAATCACGGGAACAACGCATATCTGGTAAAATGATATCGTAAATCTGATCAGA